AAAAAGGCATCTATCATGTAACTGGGTTGTCTTGCTCAAAACACGATTCTAAGTAGCTTATACAGTAGAGTTCCTACCTGTGGTTTGTTTTCATTGTTTCAATTGTGCATGGTCAGTCATGCTCCTAAATATTAAATGGGAAAATCCAGATGTAAACAGTAAGTTTTCAACTGGATACCACTCCAAGCAGTGTGGTGAAATCTCACACCATCCCCCTGCAGCCTCTTCCTATGAGCTGAGTTAGCAGCCATCTTAGCTTTTAGGTCAACTGTCACAATTGACAATGCTTTGTGTTCCAGTAACCTTTAGTTCACTTAGTAATGGCCCCCAAATGCCAGAGTGGTGATTCTAAGGAGGCATTAGGGCATTAGACATGAGACAAATACGTTGTGCTCTGCATGGAGGCTGCCAGGCATGTGGGTGACATCATAACAGGTACAGGTCCTTTGGCAGCCTTGACTACACCCCTGCTGTGCTTTCAGTAGCTTTGATTATGCTTTGACAAGTTGTCTAACACGTTATCACCACCATTAAGAGTGGCTCACATAGCCCAGTACATTCAGAGACTGTTATAACATTTGATTCAGGTTGTGTTTAAACCAAGTTAACCTTTGAATCCAGAGGAACTTTACCCAAGAATTTCCAACATACACATTTATACAACTTCAAAACCATACTTAAAAAGCCAAAGGGTTTACAATAAGTCTACTATTTAATGCTGAAATATTTCAAATCAGAGAACTATTTGGACAGAGAAGGGGTCTATCAAAGACGTTCTCAGCTAGACTTGACAAAAAGAAAAAGAAAAAACTATACTTTTGTGTTTTACTGTAGCTCAAACATTTGATAAGAAGTGGTTCTGATAACAACAGCAATATCATTCATCTAATTAACTATTCATTAGAAATGAAGAGAGGGGCTTAACCAAGATTAACTGATGACAAGCAATCATAACCCAATTAGTACACTGATCACAACAGGAAATTTTAAATGCTTCAGTCTTTTAAGAAACCATACACACCTTGCACATGTACATTCTTTCATGTCATTATTTTATCAATTGCTGTATGATTCATATAAATTGTCTGGCATTTTTACTTTGAAAACCTAGACAGATGCATCTGGTGGCTTTCTAAATGCCTGGTTTTATCTAATTCAGTTACACCTCTCCTAACAGAACAGCTCCCCTGAGGGGACAGTAACCTATCCTCTGCAAGAGAGGTAAGAGTTTAGCACAATAGGTTTTTCTCCATGTGCTCAGGCCCCAAGCTGCAGTCTGAGCACCATGTAGAAAGATAGATAAATGCAAAGACAAAACCCAGCCAGGCAGGCTGGAGAGTAATGGATCTGTAATGCCTTTACCTCAGCTGCAGTCAAAGCCAAACAAATCAGTCTCTAAGACACCAAGAACAGACAAAAGAAGAGAGTGATCCCAGAAGCCACCTGTTCATTCTCTTACTAAAAATGGCCACAGAATGCTTTGTGAATATTTACTCTCGTGAAGTATACAACGGATCAGTCTGTTTTCATTAATTCTTCTAAGAGTATCTCAAAACGAGTCCAAGAAGTACATTTGTTTTTATTTTCAGCTAAAGAGAGATTGCTAAACAAGCCCTGCCAAGCATTTTGCTGTTTCCTGAGGGTTACAGGAATTTACTGATGCCTTGGCTAATTCTGCTTACTTTCTTGATATCATTAGTTTATTTCCCTTTCCACTTGGTTTTGCCTCCAGATTTGCCCATGATGTGCTCAGCAACAAAGCGTTCAGAGATTTCATTCTTCCTTTTCAGAATATGTGCTCTGGGTAAACACCCAAATCAAAGACCCTTTCCTCCCTACCTTACTCAAAAGTTAAAAAGAAGTATGTTCCTTGAGATAGAAGCATTTTTACAAAAACAACCACAATTTTGGAAATCAGAAAGTAGATTATATTTGCAGAAGATACTGTTCTCCATGCTTTCTTAATGATCCCATAAAATTCTTTATGTACAATCAATTATACCTTTGAAAGGTGTTTTTAATATTCACCACCAGACCCAAAAAAATGATTAATGTCTTATAAGCCTGTGTCTTGGGATTATTGAAGTCACAGATTCTGTTTTAAATTAAACACCTAATTATATGGAAGCCTTTCAGAAAGAACAATGTATATAAGTATATAAATCAAAATAGAATGACTGGTTCTCTACATATGTCCCCCTTTCCCACAAAGATTTTTGGAACACTTTCTGGAACCAGAAAATAAATAAATAAATAAACAAACAAACAAACAAACAAACTGAAATTTGTCAGTGAGCAAAACTGCAGGCAGTTTTTGCTGAGTATGCAAATTGGTCTCCACTCTGAGCAGCATCATGTTTTGGTGCAAGCGAACTCAGCAGTTGCTATGTGCTTTCTAGAAATGCCCTCTTAGGTCTTGCCTCAGCTCTCACTTACATTACTTTGCTTCCTCTGACAAGAATCTAACTCCATCCAGACTAGAAGGGGGAGAAAAAGTTTCAACCTTTGGGTGAAAAGTGAGTGCTTTCAGAAAAATCTCTTAAAAAAAAAAAAAAAAAAAAAAAAAAGACTCAACCTATAATGGGGCTTTTAACTGCTTCCTGAGCCATTTTTCTTCTTCTTCAGGTTGAAGGTTACAAGGTACTTTTAAAGATGGTTTTAACACTTGCCGGTCACTGAGAAGATTAAAGGCATAAACGGCTGAGGCTGGATGGCAAGGCCGCTACCAAAGGCTTCGCACCACCGCTGTATCGAGGCCTTCTTTTCATTTCTTTGCATTGAGAAGCTTATAAACAAGATTGGAAATGTTCAGGATAGTGCAAAGCCAGTGCGAGTCACGTTCCAACGGAAGTGAGGGTGAGGTGTGGGGCTCAGTGTCCTCTAGCCATGGGAAAGTCGTCATACTTTTCTCTTTCCCATCCACAAAGCGGGGATAAAAGTGGGGAGAATAAAGCTTGACAAAGCTGAATGAATGAAATTGTATCGTCGAATAGTTTGAAGTTAGACTGAATTTAAGTGAAAAAAAAAAGTACCTTTATACCTTTAATGCACTGAGAGCTTCCAAGGAAACATGAGAAATAAAATCTCTTGCGCTGAGCAAGTTAAGTAACGATAATGCCTATTAAATACTTGTACACAGTTCTATCATAAAAGTTGTGTGGTTTCACCCAGGAGCCTCTCCCAAATGAAAGACTGCGTGGACGTGCTTGGTAAAATCATAAAGCACTAACTACCCTGTAATGATGACAGCACTTGCAGTACTAGCACTGAGTGCTTACCTGGGACCGGGCAGTGAAAAGCAAGCGTTGGGCTAGAGAAGATTTTTGTCTCCGTATTATAAATGACAAACTCAAGACAGAGACATTGAGTCACTACACTATGCTACCCATCAAGGGAGGGGGGAGCACTGAGGTCATCTGGTTTCCACGCTTGTGCACATTGTCCACAGGACAGCAAGCAAGGCCTGACCATAATGCTGCTCTTCCTGTGACCAACTCTGAGGCAATTTATACCTCCCCCAAATGTACATGTTCTTCTGGATCAGAAAGCTGAAGCATGGCACTTGTCTAGTTGGAAAAGGACTCTTTCTAAGTTGCTTTTCTTGCGCAGCACTTACTATTTTGTCTTTATTTTATTTACTTTATTCATTATTATCGTTGTTTTGAATTCTCCTGTCTCGGCATTCCAAGTGTTGGCATTGCAGGTGCATGAAGAAATTATTCATATCCATATTTCGTTGCTAATGTGAATATAATTTAAGTGTTGTTATATAATACAACATATCAAAACTCACTAGTAGTTAGGTTTTGGAAGTTTAGTAATTATCAATTAACAATAGTTGAATATAGGACCAATGAGAAGGTTGAGAAGGAAAAGGTGCTTATCACCAAGCCTGAAGACCTCAGTTCAGCCCCAGATCCCAGGAAGGAACTGTCCTTACACATGTGACAGTTTGAACACACACAATTAATAAAAATAATTTAAATTAAATGAATAACAGCACTTACATCTATAACACCAGAAAATATTAGCACCAATTAGCATTTTGTATTCAAGTCAATATATATTTGCCAGTTCTTTATATATATATATATATATATATATATATATATATATATATATATATCCAAGTCCATTTAAATGAAAACAAACATTTATAGACAATATTTGGGAATTTGGGCATCGTTCTTTCCAAACTACTTCCTGCTGGTAAGGGGCGCTGTCATGGGGGATTCGAAGAAGATTCAGATATCCTGGCTGTAGTCTGTAGGGCTGTTTTGTCCAGCTGTTTTGAATGTAGGATCACCTTGTACTCTGTTTCAGGTGGTCTGGCGTGATCAAACCACATTAGTCTGGAAGGAATCTACATCTTTTCATTTTCTGTGGAAACAAAAATAGAAATCCTTTTCCCCAGTAACTTTTCCTTGAACTTAAATTTTGGAGTCAAAGCATTTTTTTTTAATTTAATTTATTATTTTACATGTCAATCCCAGTTCCCTCTCCCTCCCTCCCTCCCTACCTCCCTCCATCCCTTCCTATTTGCCGGTTCTATACATATATTTTTCTCATTAAAAAAAATCTTGCTAGTGTGAAAATAGCAAATATATATATATATATATATAATCAACTATTTCACCAGACAATTTTAGTTAAGAATTTACAAGACCCGGGGCTACAGATATGGGTCAGTACTCCTTTCAACCTGTTAAAGGCCTTGGCTTTAATCTCTAGACCCAAACAAAAGAAAACAGTTTAAAACTCATGTTTTTCAAACATGCTTTTCTGTTCTATTTGTTTTTGTTTATTTAAGACAGTCTTGCCTCAGTGTCAGGGAGTCCTGAGATTACAGGCATTCACCACCACACCTGGCTTGCAAAGATGCATCTTAAGGCTTTGTTATGGTAGTGATTCTCACTATTACCCCTTGGTGAGATAAGGGAGTGCCACAAAAGAGCGTAGAACTAAGTATTTTGATTTCTTTTAAAATTTAAGCGACAAATATACTCCTTTTGGCAGCACATACACTAAAATTGGAATAATATAGAGAAAATTACCATGTCTCCTATTCAAGGACAATACAAAAATGCACAAACTGTTCCATATTTTTCTTTAAAAAAAAAAAAAAAAGTTAAGTAGATGAAAGACTACCCTATCCATTTAAGGCTACTTCTAAGTTCAAAAACAATTTTTGAGAAAACCTCATGTGTAAATATTCATTCGCTACAATTTGTGCTTCAGGATATTGTAATTGATTTCTCAGCATAAGAATTTAGGAAGGACTAAAACATCCCTAGAGCAACCCAAGCCTTGCTGGAATGATGGGCTGCGATCACAGAGCCTTGGACGACAGGGACAGGAAAACACTTTCTGCTATCAGAGTATTTTCCTCATCCTGCCATTACAGTTACTCCTAAGTCATTGTTTAAAAGATTCGAAGCTGTGTTGTGAAGAAACTTGCTGTGAACTTTGCTAACAATGGTCTAAATGCATCTTTGGATTACTCTCTGGAGAAATTGCAGCATTTCATGTGAGCAGTACCCACTTTCCTCAGTTAAAATGAAAATCTCTATTCGGCTCTTCTTTGCATGTCTCTTTAAAACCTCAAACCACGTTTGGGAACGTTTTCTTTTTTAATCTTCACTCTTCCATTCTGTTTCTAAAGGAATACTTAGTGTTAACTAGGTTGCAATTTCATTCGAAAAGAATTGAGCTAGCATTCCAGAATGAGGTCGATTGCCCACAGAAAGTATGTTGGCGGCTACCTTTAAACATGCAAGGAACTGTACAGGCAGCATACCTAGACTTAATGCAGATAATGTTTGGTTCTTTGAGATAGAAATGATGTCATTGTGATACTGGCAAGAAAAATGCATAAGATGTACCTTCCACTTTTCTCTTTGGATAAGTACAATTTTCTTTGCAGCATTTTGTTACACTGAGAATGCTAAAACATTAGTGAGTTTCTCACATAATGACAACAGAAACATCTGACTTTGTTTTGAACTCAAATCATTAACTATACACAATAATGTTTTGTGCAACCTAAAATTGGGGTGTGAAAACCAAGGCATTAAGTAACAAGTGTTAGCACATCGAGCCTATGAAAAGAAGAGAAAGTATTAGGCTCCTACTTTCATAAAGGGAAATTAAAACTTGCAGGTCAATCAAGCTGAGAAATGTCAAAATTGAAAAATAAGTAAAATAAATGGTTTCCAAGTGTCAAGCACAGTCCTTTTTCAGAAAAATTATTTGAGTAATTCTTTATAATGCACAGATGAGGACATACACATATATAAAAAAACAAGTTTTACAACATAATGTCACAGACAGAATTCAGAGCCTACTAAAATGTATAATCCTGGCATCTAAAAGTGTTCCTTGTTCACCAGTTAAGGACATAATGAAAACCACCAGTGTCTCTTACACTCTAACCACAAAAATTTAGGAGTTTCCAGCATATGCTGAAATATGTATGTATTCACAGGTATTCATTAAAGCCCATTTTTGCTCTAGACACTGGATCAAGGGTGTAAGAGAACAGCCTGCCCTCCAGTGATCAGTTAGCCCTTAAAGAAGACAAACGCTAAAGAACTGAACAAGGGAATGGCTGCAGAAGGGCGATGTGGCTCGTTTTTTCTCCGCGCATACAGTATGTAACCTCCACTAATAAGCGCTTATGTATCCAGTGCATCCTAAAGAGTTGTGTTGAAGGGTCTTCAGGAAGAAAATGGTCCATTTTGCCCAACATGGTCCCATGCTTGCGCTGAGTCACTAGATAACTAACTGCACCTGAGGGAGGCGAAATAACTCATTTTGTACAGCTAACTGGTGATACCTGGTGACCTTGTATTTTGTTCAAAAACCTGGTTACATTGGCTCGGGAAAGTTTTCTCCACATCTGCTCTCTATAATTTCCAAACCTGTAGAGCTTCCCCTATGGTGGGAACAGCACTAGGGTAAGGAAGAGAATTCACTGGAGCTGGGAGACTGAAAACATGAGTTTCTCCTCAGAGGCCACCCTTAGCTCCTAAAAAGCCACAGTACTTTGCAATATGGGTTTCTTCAGTGGCCACTTACTTCATGACAATTTATTTATTCAAAACCTGCAAGGTGAGAGACCATTCCTCTTTTAAGAGCTTTTCACCTATAAATCAAGTGCATCCTGATCATCTTTTGATTGACTTAAAACCAGTTGATTTGGTGTATCAGCTACATCTAAACAGTACAGTCATAGGCTCCACTCATATTCAAGGCAAAGAGAAAACTTACATCCTAAAACCACCAAGGGGTAGGAAAGCAAGCCACTCAGCAATTCCCTCAGAAGGAGCCATATAAGGATACAGGTTAAGGGAGACTTGGACATGTTTTGCATGCATGCACACACACACAAATGCACACCATAAACTTTACTTACAAAGTGGCTTTTATAAAACCTGAAAATTATTATTGTGATCCTTTATTTCTATATTTTTAGAACTAAACTCTAATAAGACCCAAATAGTTTGTTTTGACCTGGTTTGGTTTGAGCTTCTCTCTCTCTCTCTCTCTCTCTCTCTCTCTCTCTCTCTCTCTCTCTCTCTCTCTCTCTCTCTCTCTCTCTCTCTTCTCTTCTTTTCTCTCTCTCTTTTCTCTCTTTCTCTCTCACTCTCCTCCTCTCTTTCTTATTCTTTCTTTCTTTTGTTCATGTATTTGTTTTTTGAGACAGGGTTTCTCTATGTAGCTCTAGATGTCCTGGAACTCTCTCTGTAGACCAGGCTGGCCTCACACTCACAGAAATTCTCTTGCATCTGCCTCCCAAGTTCTGAGATTAAAGGCATGTGCCATCACCTCCCAGAGACTTTGTTTTGTGAGACAGGGTCTCACTCTTTAGAATAGGCTATCGTAGAGCTCACTAGACCCAGGCTGGATCCAGACTTATCTTGCCTCAGTTTCCTAAACACTGTAGTTATAGACATGAGCCAACACACCCATCTAATTTCAAATATTTTGACTTTAAAACAAAAATTGCTGTTACACTTTTATTTGTTGCTTTAATTTCCCAAAATAAGGCAGGCCTAAGGCTCAAAGGGGTGAAGTACAAAATGGTAATGAGGAGGAAAAAAAAAAACAAAACTTCATTCTTTTGCAGGAGGATTTTTATTTATTTTTATTTATTTATTTATTTTTGAAATAGGATCTCACATAGCCCGGGCTGGCCTCCAACTTGCTATGGAGCTGAGACTAGCCTTAGACTCTTGATCCTACTGCCTCTACCTCCAAAGTATTAGATTTACAGGCCTGAACCCTTTGATGCTTGGAAAACACTGTGCCAGCTGAGCTGCATTTTAAATAAACTTTTATTTGTATTTAAAAAATAAAATAAAAATTGCTACAAATATGCCAAATACTAGACTTGTTACACCCAGGTCAAACTAAAATAAAATACATGAATTGCTTAATATTAAAACCAATAGGATACACATAAGCATCATTCTATGACATGGAAAATATTACTGATGAAATTCATGCTATATTTTATACTTTACTATCAAAATAGGTGTTTAAATATATAACATACACAGAGGCTAGCTTGTTAAACACAATTGCATTGTTTTCAAGGACAGACATTTAATAAGTATCATGCAAGATCTTTACCCACCTAGTTTGAATGCTAATGCTGCAAAAATGAAGACCAAACACACACATAGGGGTATCTGCTGAGCTCAGGGTCACTGCAGTCAGGGTTGAAATGCAGAAGCAACTCAATAGAACAATGTCCTTCATAGACTGGCTCTTACTACAAGTGTCAGCCACTTGTCTGACTACACATCATAATACACATAATAACAGGAGAAAGAAGAAAAAGTAATGCCCACTGACTTTTATGTATTTACTACCCCATTGCACCTTTACAAGCATCCTTTAATTCTCAAAACATCACAACAGTGTCCAGTACAATTATGACAGGTTCTCTGTCAGCCAGCGAGTGGCTCAGCTAAAATAGAAGCTCCTGACAATTAAGGGCAACCAGAAGAAAGTGGATGTAGTGCCCACTGTCACAGATGTGATTTCTCTCCTTCAGGATTGAGATGCACTGGATTGCGGAGCAGATCTGGAATGGGAACTCAGCCTCCAGAACCAACTTCTTTAACTCATGTGTAGAAACTTAGAGAAGAAAAAAAATGCCCAAAGTTTCAGTATCCCCTAAAGACGTTTCATTGACAGTCTCTGCAATCCAGAATTCCCAGAATTCCGGGACTCCACAGAAATATTTCCCATACTGTAGTCATGGGTGACATTATTTGCAACAAAGGAAACACAACAGTGATTTCACAGAGAGCAAACCTTGAGCTTCCTTCTCCCATGTGTACACACCCAGGGTTTGGGGTTGCCAGGAATCCAAACAGGTTAGGTGTCACCTCGATGTGTGTGCTTTCCAGAACTCCGTGACATGCACACTGCCTGCTGAGTGTCTGAAAGGAGATAAGTCAGAGTGCAAGGAGCCAATTTTAGGTGTCTACACATTCCGTCAAAGTGACACTGCAAAGTGTTTGTCACTATTGTTTCTAGAACACTGAAAGAAGAAAATATGGTTTGAAAACTGTTTTTGGTCTAGAACACTTGATTGTTGCTCCTTGCACAATAACCAAAGACAAGTGCATACCGACACTGCCTCACATCATTTGTTGAGAGAAACACGGATTGGTGACCTTGACCATTTGTGGCTCCAAAGTTTTTATTTTACATTTAAAAGATAGTCTAGGATGATCATCTCAATCACTACTCATTATTAGTTGAAGAGTAAACTGATAATATGTGTGAAAATTTGAATGAAAATGGTCCCCATAGGTTCATCTATTCTCATGTTTAATCCCTAATTGATGAACTGTTTGGAGATTAGGAGGTGTGGTCTTGTTGGAGGAGGTGTGTCACTGGGAGTGGGCTTTGAGGTTTCAAAAGCCCTTGACAGGCCCAGGGTCACTGTCTCTGCCCATTTCCTGATGATCAGGATAGCTCTCAGCTACTTCTCCACACCATAGACATGTACCACCATGCTTCCTGTCATCATGATAATGGACTCTCTGAAACCATACTCAAGTCCTTAGTTAAATGCTTTCTTTTATAAGA